TGAGCTGACATTCGGCACCCATGGTTGTATCGTTGTGTCGTTGATGATCGACGAAGCATCGCTGCAGTCATCTTCGTCGTCAATCGCTTCGTCGTCACTGCTTATAAAACAAAACCTATCTTCATCTCCATTTTCACTTGTTTCTACGATGTCGTCCGCTAAACTAACCTAACCTAATCACGTTTCTGCAGTCGTATAACATTTTCTCTGCCTTCAGTTGTCTTGAATACTATAAAAGCAAACCCTCTGCTCTGACAATTTCGGTAACAATGATTGAAGATATTGTATGGGTTTCAAACAACCTAGTGCAACTGCAACGTTCAGCTTATTACCACGTTCGTACAATTTTGTTATAACTTGAGTTTTGAAATAATAAGTTAGAATTAAAAGAATTGAAAAACATACCTCATAAATTAATAATTTAATACCTATAAAAAAAATAAAAAAAATATGCTTCACTTCAATACATTGATAAAGTATCAAAATTGTATTATTTATTAGTTCCTTAATTAAAAAAATGACAGTAAATATTTTTTAATATACCATAGGGAAACTATTCTTGTAACTTTAGTATCCCCCACACTTGGTATCTGCGGAGCATCAATCTCGTCATCCCATATTATAAAAGTCTCCCCGTTCTCTGTAACAAATTCATGAATTAAATATTCCAGGTCATTATGCCGCGGTAACTCATCCATTATCCTTCGCGATGATTCCTCCTCAATGGTGAGCCGATTAGCGTTCGTAGTTACTGATGTCCCGGACGACCTCCAATGATTTCCACAGTAGCACTGGATTCTCCCTCAGAAACGAAATGGTCGTCATTTCATCAAGTCCTCAGGGTAGTCAGCAACGTGATCGTTGTCCCGGGTGGTCGAAGATAAAAATCCTTCCGGTCCTTTTATGAACTAATCATCGCCGAACTAGTTCTACCATACTAGTTTTATTTATGTTTTCACTATTTTCTCCTACTCTTTTTATCATTTTGTTCTTTACAAATCACTTTTTCTTATTATTTCTTATTATCCTCTATTTTTAATAATATTTTATTTTGGTGTCTTATCATGAAGTGTTTTCATCAAACTATCTAAAATTAATTGTTTTACGATAAACAATGCCAAGGCGTATTTCCTTCCATCAGGAATCCAATTTATATTCATCAATTGATCACAACAAAACTATATTGGTCAATTCGAATTACAAATTTGGTCGAGTGGTAATCTCCGAGATGCTTGAGATACAACTCATCGTGTGAATGCCATTGCCTAAACTGGTCGAAATACCGACCACACGATAAGCATCGGTATATTTCTTTTTCTGTCTTAAATGTTTTAAGTGTTCTCTCGATATAGCTACCATGGGATTCTGCCGTGACAGTCGACAACATAGAATGTTTGTTTTTTTTGCACAAGAATTAGTCTCCAATTTCAGGATCACTTTGTTTTGAAATACACTCCCTAATGGTTACAGATAACGCTGAAAAGCATTTGGTTTCGGACTAAAACTCTGTGGTCAGTTTCTCTCCTTGGTTCACGGTTATGGAATTGCATGATTATATTTAGTCATCCCACGTTTTTGAAATTTATATTTAAGGATCTAGGTATATGACCTAATTATTTAAGTATACCATAATGTGAGAAAGGCTTACCTAAAACTGTATATTTAATAGAAATGGCAACATTCGAAAACACAGGAATATAATGGTACATCTGGAGTAATGAAAGGGTTAACATTAAACAGAAGCAGACTTATAAAAATTTGTCTACATACCAAAACATCTAGATAATTTATAACATGTCAGATGCTTGCGGCACGTTTCAGATCATTGCGCTGGTGTACGTCGCAGTGTCGAAGACAAATTGTGTTTACTTTTTACTATCGCGTCTACTATTGTTAGCAGGGTAGCTCATCATTAATACAAGATTCTTCATCGTCCAGTGCATAGTGGTAATAGCATCGATGCGTGGCGAGGGTTGGTTTCGGTTTGACACACACACGTCGTCTGGCCCGGCCGAAGAGCCCGATTCTAGTCGACTAATCTTAAAACGATCTCGTAGTTGCTGCCGCCGTTTCAACCGCTGCTCATGTCGTTTCAGCCACTGCCGACGCATTATTTTTTGGTTGTGTGACTTATTTGTTATATGATCATTCATATTATACCGGTTAATTGATGAATATTCATTAAATTCACCATCATCAAAATATATATCCGATGTGTGTCATTTTCGGCCGACGATATTTCAGATTCGCCAGCTCGAAGACTCCGAATCACTGAAATTAATATCTTGTATAAACAAATCCAGATCATTCGATTGGATCTCTGCGTTAGGTTCTCTAACTACTTCTAAACTAGTGGTCTCTTACGATAAAAATTTAGCCCATACAAAAAAACAATCTTCAAACTATTACAGTCACTCATGAGATGACTGAGCCATATTTCTATCATTTCGTAAGATGCCCTAATGGCATCTAAGAACTGGCGCCTCGACGCCTCTACGCCAAGCAATATCTCTTTCTCTGATTAACTCTTGACACCCCAATTGAAACATTATCTACTGCCCTCATCCTTTTTAACATCTCATTTCATATTTTTTGTTTTCTAAATACCACCTAGCTTCTCTAGACTAATGACTTTTATAAAAATTAAATAAAATATGCTATAATGATGTTGTTGTAACTTACGCTACAGGTTGGCGGTGTCGTCCACGCCTCACATCAAACACACCCGGACGGCTGACTCTGGATCTTATGGCCTGTTTATTGCGTCGTGAGCCTCGTCGCGCAGATTACTGGTTACCACTTCTTCAAAATCATCTTCCATGGTCGACGGCGGTGTCCAGAATCCGTCTGCCTCGGACTCGTCTTCCTCACTTGAGCTGACATTCGGCACCCATGGTTGTATCGTTGTGTCGTTGATGATCGACGAAGCATCGCTGCAGTCATCTTCGTCGTCAATCGCTTCGTCGTCACTGCTTATAAAACAAAACCTATCTTCATCTCCATTTTCACTTGTTTCTACGATGTCGTCCGCTAAACTAACCTAACCTAATCACGTTTCTGCAGTCGTATAACATTTTCTCTGCCTTCAGTTGTCTTGAATACTATAAAAGCAAACCCTCTGCTCTGACAATTTCGGTAACAATGATTGAAGATATTGTATGGGTTTCAAACAACCTAGTGCAACTGCAACGTTCAGCTTATTACCACGTTCGTACAATTTTGTTATAACTTGAGTTTGAAAATATAAGTTAGAATTAAAAGAATTGAAACATAAATCATAAATCTAATAATTTAATACCTATAAAAAAAATAAAAAAAATATGCTTCACTTCAATACATTGATAAAGTATCAAAATTGTATTATTTATTAGTTCCTTAATTTAAAAAATGACAGTTAATATTTTTTAATATACCATAGGGAAACTATTCTTGTAACTTTAGTATCCCCCACACTTGGTATCTGCGGAGCATCAATCTCGTCATCCGATATTATAAAAGTCTCCCCGTTCTCTGTAACAAATTCATGAATTAAATATTCCAGGTCATTATGCCGCGGTAACTCATCCATTATCCTTCGCGATGATTCCTCCTCAGTGGTGAGCCGATTAGCGTTCGTAGTAACTGATGTCCCGGACGACCTCCAATTTATTTTTCATTAGTAGCACTGGATTCTCCCACAGAAACGAAATGGTCGTCACTTCATCTACATTGTTGTGGTCCGTCTAAAAATTTAAATAAGATATGCTATAATGATGTTGTTGTAACTTTACCTACAGGTTGGCGGTGTCGTCCACGCCTCACATCAAACACACCCGGACGGCTGACTCTGGATCTTATGGCCGTGTTTATGCGTCGTGAGCCTCGTCGCGCAGTATTACTGGTTACCACTTCTTCAAAATCATCTTCCATGGTCGACGGCGGTGTCCAGAATCCGTCTGCCTCGGACTCGTCTTCCTCACTTGAGCTGACATTCGGCACCCATGGTTGTATCGTTGTGTCGTTGATGATCGACGCAAGCATCGCTGGCAGTCATCTTCGTCGTCATCGCTTCGTCGTCACTGCTTTATAAAACAAAACCTATCTTCATCTCCATTTTCACTGTTTCTACGATGTCGTCCGCTAAACTAACCTAACCTAATCACGTTTCTGCAGTCGTATAACATTTTCTCTGCCTTCAGTTGTCTTGAATACTATAAAAGCAAACCCTCTGCTCTGACAATTTCGGTAACAATGATTGAAGATATTGTATGGGTTTCAAACAACCTAGTGCAACTGCAACGTTCAGCTTATTACCACGTTCGTACAATTTTGTTATAACTTGAGTTTTGAAATAATAAGTATTTTGTTCTTACAAATCACTTTTTCTTATTATTTCTTCTTATCTCTATATTTTTTTAAATAATTATTTTATTTTGGTGTCTTATCATGAAGTGTTTTCATCAAACTATCTAAAATTAATTGTTTTACGATAAACAATGCCAAGGCGTATTTACCTCCATCAGGAATCCAATTTATATTCATCAATTGATCACAACAAAACTATATTGGTCAATTCGAATTACAAATTTGGTCGAGTGGTAATCTCCGAGATGCTTGAGATACAACTCATCGTGTGAATGCCATTGGCCTAACTGGTCGAAATACCGACCACACGATAAGCATCGGTATATTTCTTTTTCTGGCTTAAATGTTTTAAGTGTTCTCTCGATATAGCTACCATGGGATTCTGCCGTGACAGTCGACAACATAGAATGTTTGTTTTTTTTTGCACAAGAATAGTCCTCCAATTTCAGGATCACTTTGTTTTGAAATACACTCCCTAATGGTTACAGATAACGCTGAAAAGCATTTGGTTCGGACTTAAAACTCTGTGGTCAGTTATCTCCTCTGGTTCACGGTTATGGAATTGCATGATTATATTTAGTCATCCCACGTTTTTGAAATTTATATTTAAGGATCTAGGTATATGACCTAATTATTTAAGTATACCATAATGTGAGAAAGGCTTACCTAAAACTGTATATTTAATAGAAATGGCAACATTCGAAAACACAGGAATATAATGGTACATCTGGAGTAATGAAAGGGTTAACATTAAACAGAAGCAGACTTATAGAAATTTGTCTACATACCAAAACATCTAGATAATTATAAACATGTCAGATGCTTGCGGCACGTTTCAGATCATTGCGCTGGTGTACGTCGCAGTGTCGGACGACAAATGTTGGTTTTTAACTATCCGTCTACTATTGCGTTAGCAGGGTATCTCCATCATTAATCCAAGATTCTTCATCGTCCAAGTGCATAGTGGGAATTAGCATCGATGCGTGGCGAGGGTTGGTTTTGACCCACACCACGTCGTCTGGCCCGGCCGGAAGAGCCCGATTCTAGTCGACTAATCTTAAAACGATCTCGTAGTTGCTGCCGCCGTTTCAACCGCTGCTCATGTCGTTTCAGCCACTGCCGACGCATTATGTTTGGTTGTGTGACTTATTTGTTATATGATCATTCATATTTTAACCGGTTATATTGATGAATAGTCATTAAATTCACCATCATCAAAATATATATCAGATGTGTGTTCATTTTCGGCCGACGATATTTCAGATTCGCAGCTCGAAGACTCCGAATCACTGAAATTAATATCTTGTATAAACAAATCCAGATCATTCGATTGGATCTCTGCGTTAGGTTCTCTAACTACTTCTACATAGTGGTCTCTTACGATAAAAATTTTAGCCCATACCAAAAAAACAATCTTCAAACTATTACAGTCACTCATGAGATGACTGAGCCATATTTCTATCATTTCGTAAGATGCCCTAATGGCATCTAAGAACTGGCGCCTCGACGCCTCTACGCCAAGCAATATCTTTTCTTCTGATTTAACTCTGACACCCCAAATTGAATACATTTTCTACTGCCCTCATCCTTTTTTAACATCTCATTTCATATTTTTTGTTTTCTAAATACCACCTAGCTTCTCTAGACTAATGACTTTTATATCTAAGAAGGATATATTTTTTTTATAAGATGTCGTAAGCGTGTTGCACTTATGGGGCATGTCGAGACGTCTACTTTCCAACTGCAGGTGTTGTATCTTGCTGCACTTCATTATTCATTGGTATCTGTGGTGACTGAAATTTCATCATCTGATATTAAAATAGTATCCCCCACACTTGGTATCTGCGGAGCATCAATCTCGTCATCCGATATTATAAAAGTCTCCCCGTTCTCTGTAACAAATTCATGAATTAAATATTCCAGGTCATTATGCCGCGGTAACTCATCCATTATCCTTCGCGATGATTCCTCCTCAGTGGTGAGCCGATTAGCGTTCGTAGTAACTGATGTCCCGGACGACCTCCAATGATTTCCACAGTAGCACTGGATTCTCCCACAGAAACGAAATGGTCGTCACTTCATCTACATTGTTGTGGTCCGTTAAAAATTAAATAAAATATGCTATAATGATGTTGTTGTAACTTACGCTACAGGTTGGCGGTGTCGTCCACGCCTCACATCAAACACACCCGGACGGCTGACTCTGGATCTTATGGCCGTGTTTATGCGTCGTGAGCCTCGTCGCGCAGTATTACTGGTTACCACTTCTTCAAAATCATCTTCCATGGTCGACGGCGGTGTCCAGAATCCGTCCTGCCTCGGACATCGTCTTCCTCACTTGAGCTGACATTCGGCACCCATGGTTGTATCGTTGTGTCGTTGATGATCGACGAAGCATCGCTGCAGTCATCTTCGTCGTCAATCGCGTCGTCGGTCACTGCTTATAAAACAAAACCTATGTTCATCTCCATTTTCACTTGTTTCTACGATGTCGTCCGCTAAACTAACCTAACCTAATCACGTTTCTGCAGTCGTATAACATTTTCTCTGCCTTCAGTTGTCTTGAATACTATAAAAGCAAACCCTCTGCTCTGACAATTTCGGTAACAATGATTGAAGATATTGTATGGGTTTCAAACAACCTAGTGCAACTGCAACGTTCAGCTTATTACCACGTTCGTACAATTTTGTTATAACTTGAGTTTTGAAATAATAAGTTAGAATTAAAAGAATTGAAAACATACATCATAAATCTAATAATTTAATACCTATAAAAAAAATAAAAAAAATATGCTTCACTTCAATACATTGATAAAGTATCAAAATTGTATTATTTATTAGTTCCTTAATTTAAAAAATGACAGTTAATATTTTTTAATATACCATAGGGAAACTATTCTTGTAACTTTAGTATCCCCCACACTTGGTATCTGCGGAGCATCAATCTCGTCATCCGATATTATAAAAGTCTCCCCGTTCTCTGTAACAAATTCATGAATTAAATATTCCAGGTCATTATGCCGCGGTAACTCATCCATTATCCTTCGCGATGATTCCTCCTCAGTGGTGAGCCGATTAGCGTTCGTAGTAACTGATGTCCCGGACGACCTCCAATGATTTTCATAGTAGCACTGGATTCTCCCACAGAAACGAAATGGTCGTCACTTCATCTACATTGTTGTGGTCCGTTAAAAATTAAATAATATATGCTATAATGATGTTGTTGTAACTTACGCTACAGGTTGGCGGTGTCGTCCACGCCTCACATCAAACACACCCGGACGGCTGACTCTGGATCTTATGGCCGTGTTTATGCGTCGTGAGCCTCGTCGCGCAGTATTACTGGTTACCACTTCTTCAAAATCATCTTCCATGGTCGACGGCGGTGTCCAGAATCCGTCTGCCTCGGACTCGTCTTCCTCACTTGAGCTGACATTCGGCACCCATGGTTGTATCGTTGTGTCGTTGATGATCGACGAAGCATCGCTGCAGTCATCTTCGTCGTCAATCGCTTCGTCGTCACTGCTTATAAAACAAAACCTATCTTCATCTCCATTTTCACTTGTTTCTACGATGTCGTCCGCTAAACTAACCTAACCTAATCACGTTTCTGCAGTCGTATAACATTTTCTCTGCCTTCAGTTGTCTTGAATACTATAAAAGCAAACCCTCTGCTCTGACAATTTCGGTAACAATGATTGAAGATATTGTATGGGTTTCAAACAACCTAGTGCAACTGCAACGTTCAGCTTATTACCACGTTCGTACAATTTTGTTATAACTTGAGTTTTGAAATAATAAGTTAGAATTAAAAGAATTGAAAACATACATCATAAATCTAATAATTTAATACCTATAAAAAAAATAAAAAAAATATGCTTCACTTCAATACATTGATAAAGTATCAAAATTGTATTATTTATTAGTTCCTTAATTTAAAAAATGACAGTTAATATTTTTTAATATACCATAGGGAAACTATTCTTGTAACTTTAGTATCCCCCACACTTGGTATCTGCGGAGCATCAATCTCGTCATCCGATATTATAAAAGTCTCCCCGTTCTCTGTAACAAATTCATGAATTAAATATTCCAGGTCATTATGCCGCGGTAACTCATCCATTATCCTTCGCGATGATTCCTCCTCAGTGGTGAGCCGATTAGCGTTCGTAGTAACTGATGTCCCGGACGACCTCCAATGATTTTCATAGTAGCACTGGATTCTCCCACAGAAACGAAATGGTCGTCACTTCATCTACATTGTTGTGGTCCGTTAAAAATTAAATAATATATGCTATAATGATGTTGTTGTAACTTACGCTACAGGTTGGCGGTGTCGTCCACGCCTCACATCAAACACACCCGGACGGCTGACTCTGGATCTTATGGCCGTGTTTATGCGTCGTGAGCCTCGTCGCGCAGTATTACTGGTTACCACTTCTTCAAAATCATCTTCCATGGTCGACGGCGGTGTCCAGAATCCGTCTGCCTCGGACTCGTCTTCCTCACTTGAGCTGACATTCGGCACCCATGGTTGTATCGTTGTGTCGTTGATGATCGACGAAGCATCGCTGCAGTCATCTTCGTCGTCAATCGCTTCGTCGTCACTGCTTATAAAACAAAACCTATCTTCATCTCCATTTTCACTTGTTTCTACGATGTCGTCCGCTAAACTAACCTAACCTAATCACGTTTCTGCAGTCGTATAACATTTTCTCTGCCTTCAGTTGTCTTGAATACTATAAAAGCAAACCCTCTGCTCTGACAATTTCGGTAACAATGATTGAAGATATTGTATGGGTTTCAAACAACCTAGTGCAACTGCAACGTTCAGCTTATTACCACGTTCGTACAATTTTGTTATAACTTGAGTTTTGAAATAATAAGTTAGAATTAAAAGAATTGAAAACATACATCATAAATCTAATAATTTAATACCTATAAAAAAAAAAAAAAAAATATGCTTCACTTCAATACATTGATAAAGTATCAAAATTGTATTATTTATTAGTTCCTTAATTTAAAAAATGACAGTTAATATTTTTTAATATACCATAGGGAAACTATTCTTGTAACTTTAGTATCCCCCACACTTGGTATCTGCGGAGCATCAATCTCGTCATCCGATATTATAAAAGTCTCCCCGTTCTCTGTAACAAATTCATGAATTAAATATTCCAGGTCATTATGCCGCGGTAACTCATCCATTATCCTTCGCGATGATTCCTCCTCAGTGGTGAGCCGATTAGCGTTCGTAGTAACTGATGTCCCGGACGACCTCCAATGATTTTCATAGTAGCACTGGATTCTCCCACAGAAACGAAATGGTCGTCACTTCATCTACATTGTTGTGGTCCGTTAAAAATTAAATAATATATGCTATAATGATGTTGTTGTAACTTACGCTACAGGTTGGCGGTGTCGTCCACGCCTCACATCAAACACACCCGGACGGCTGACTCTGGATCTTATGGCCGTGTTTATGCGTCGTGAGCCTCGTCGCGCAGTATTACTGGTTACCACTTCTTCAAAATCATCTTCCATGGTCGACGGCGGTGTCCAGAATCCGTCTGCCTCGGACTCGTCTTCCTCACTTGAGCTGACATTCGGCACCCATGGTTGTATCGTTGTGTCGTTGATGATCGACGAAGCATCGCTGCAGTCATCTTCGTCGTCAATCGCTTCGTCGTCACTGCTTATAAAACAAAACCTATCTTCATCTCCATTTTCACTTGTTTCTACGATGTCGTCCGCTAAACTAACCTAACCTAATCACGTTTCTGCAGTCGTATAACATTTTCTCTGCCTTCAGTTGTCTTGAATACTATAAAAGCAAACCCTCTGCTCTGACAATTTCGGTAACAATGATTGAAGATATTGTATGGGTTTCAAACAACCTAGTGCAACTGCAACGTTCAGCTTATTACCACGTTCGTACAATTTTGTTATAACTTGAGTTTTGAAATAATAAGTTAGAATTAAAAGAATTGAAAACATACATCATAAATCTAATAATTTAATACCTATAAAAAAAATAAAAAAAATATGCTTCACTTCAATACATTGATAAAGTATCAAAATTGTATTATTTATTAGTTCCTTAATTTAAAAAATGACAGTTAATATTTTTTAATATACCATAGGGAAACTATTCTTGTAACTTTAGTATCCCCCACACTTGGTATCTGCGGAGCATCAATCTCGTCATCCGATATTATAAAAGTCTCCCCGTTCTCTGTAACAAATTCATGAATTAAATATTCCAGGTCATTATGCCGCGGTAACTCATCCATTATCCTTCGCGATGATTCCTCCTCAGTGGTGAGCCGATTAGCGTTCGTAGTAACTGATGTCCCGGACGACCTCCAATGATTTTCATAGTAGCACTGGATTCTCCCTCAGAAACGAAATGGTCGTCACTTCATCAGTCCTCAGGGTAGTCAGCAACGTGGGATCGTGTCCCGGGTTGGTCGAAGATAAAAAATCCTTCCGGTCCTTTTATGAACTAATCATCGCCGAACTATTCTACCATACCTAGTTTTATTTATGTTTTCACTATTTATCTCTACT